TTAATTAACTGAATACGAGAAGCTGCTTGATAAGAGTGGATAATGAGGAGATTACACAGGCACTAGCTTGTTTGCAGTCAACCATTCAAATGTTTGGTGTTGTATGGATTATTTATGTCAACACCAAACCCCGCAGAATTCGAGGTTATGAGAACAGGTTGACATTTCGAAAGTACGTTGCGCAGTCAACAAATCTTGCTGAATTTACCGTTTATCCTTGTCTATCTTATTGCCACTCTGTATAATTGCATGGTTACCGGAGTTTTTAATAATTACGAAGCAAAAGGTAGTTTCGCAATGTTAATTAGGCATATAACCTTGAAAAACATTGCTGCAGTATTTCTGATATAATTTTTTGGAAATTTCTCAGTTTTTAATAACAATTAATTTATTTTACTATTTTTTCTGTACTCCTATAACAGCACCAGACAACACCTCCAGAGGAATGACGCCAATTTTGAATCACCTTGTATGTAGTGATATATCAATTAGATTTGTGAATTATTGAAAAATACGATTAGAAATTGAAAATGCTGAAAGCAAATCAAAATTAAAGCAGCTGTGAGAAAAGTGGCTGTTGATATAAGAAATATAAGAAGTTGGGAGTAAAATATTGCATAGTCTATGTTGAGCTAATAACATTTTTTTTCAAACGATACCATTTTACAGCTTTCAAATTATTTAGGCATACAAAAATACCAAACTTTAGTTCACAAGTCGACGGTTTGAGAATTTTGTGTCTGTCAGCTTTTGAACTAAGACAAGTTTGGTAAAATCGTATTTTGACCTTTTTGAAATATGTATATCGTAATGTTTTATTTACTGTTTTGGGTTGGTTTGGATTAGCTTTTCTTTCATTTTGTTTTGTGTTGGTTAACTTATAATTCATAGACTTTTTATTCACAAAATAATATTTCAAAAGTTCTGATTAGATATTATTCATATATTGTGTAACAATTTTAAAATGTTGCCTTGTTTTGTTCTCTATCGTCTTTCAGAACATTATAGTAAATATATGAAGAAAACTCTATTAAACATGTTAAAACAACGTTTTGTCAACACGTGTTATTTACTGTACGTCTTTACATTCATATAGCACGAATGTGTTATTTTTTAATAGCATTGATAATATTTGAAATCCGCCAGAAACACGATCCGACCAATGTGTATTATTTATGATTGCCAACTTTATTTACATTGTATAATCCACCAATTGTGTAATGTTTTGATAATCCTGTCACCTGTGTTTATGAAACATTTTGCATGACAAATGAATGTTGATGGTTTTTGTTAGCGCGTTATGCTAATAGTTTTTAATAGCTAAAGCTAAGCATCAATGCTTAGCCATGAGCGAATGCTTTTTAATAGCTAAGCATCAATGTACCTAAAATAAGTTTTTGTTAGGTCTGGAAATATTTTTATTTGGGATGCATACGCGGGTGCAGACAGCGCATTTCTGTTTCCGAGTTACTAGCTACACAATTTCTGAAGCAGACCTTCATCTGTGGCACTTTCTTGCACTTCCTCTTACATTTCACCTATAAACTATTCAGCTAAAACAATAGGTGCTTATAATGCCGATACCTACTGCGATTATCGGTTAAATTGAGAAAAAAGTGGAATTTTATCGGTTCCGTCGATCTTGAGATTGCCAATTTCCATTCATTTCTACAATAAATTGCATCAGCGAAGCAGATGAAATCGCAAACCAAGACTTTTGAATTTGCATTTCATTTTGTATACCTTATCAAAGATCTTTTGCATGATGTCATGATTTTGTTATTTTATGATTAGAATATTTATAAATCATAAGCGGGTTTGTGCATATTTCTGGAGTTCAATTTACTAGCGAAGATTAAACGAATTTACAATTAAATTGCTGCAACTGCACATTCAAGAAGTTTCTTTCATCAAATGTAGGATAACTAGTTTAAGCGACAAACTGATCTTGACAGCTATGGAATTGTGAATTCAATCAGTTTTCACGTTTTAGTTTTATCCATTCTACTGTACAGCAAATATGGTTTATGCTTTAAATAGGGTTTTGAAGGGAAAATATGGCCGGTGGCTTTCCAATTGAACGTTCACAATCATTCACATTTTCGCCTGTTCAAATTGATCTCATAAATCAAATATTTGCCGCAACTTTCAGCATAACTCTTTGTTTCGAAAACTTGTTAAAATTAATGACAATAAGAATGATATAGCACATAATGGATATCTCTTGTTACATCTCAGTTTGCAAATTCAAGGCTTCCGATCAGTTTATATAAATAATTTGCGTCAGATTATACATCAATCATTCTCCCATATTAGATGGGCGACCCTATTGAGAAACTAGATAATCCCTTCTATGACACTTTGGAACAAAAACATTCGTAGTGAAAAGATGCGTGTAAGCAACTTCTTTCAATAGGTTCAAAGTTCTCATCAATTAGTCGTAGGTATTTGAGTGATTAGTAGCGAACTTTTCGTTACCTAACTAGCCGATGGTCATTAGCAAAAATACGAGATTTTTTGATCGAAACGAGTTTGGCTTGACTATAGAAATGATAAATTTTATACATACTGACATAAAAAGCATTTAACTAGTTTTAAGTAGTTTTCTTGTCTTTTGTTTTGTTGTTTTTATGGAGATCTGAATTGTTGATTTGGCGACACTTTTCATTATAGTAGTAATATTGTTTTTAAGTTTCAAATTTTATTGTTTTGTTTTCATATTTTATTGTTATAATGACGAAATTAAATTGGGAACAATATTGCTAAATTACTTATTTATCCCTCGAAATAGGCAATACGAAAAATTAACAGTGCATTTGTAAACTGCAATTTAAAAAGCTTTCACTCAATATTGTTTTTTTGTTGCCAAGGACTTAAACCTTTAAAAACATGAAATTATTATAAGCCGTAGTTCATAAATATCCTTATCGAAATAATATATTCAGAATACTAGATCGATCTAATCTAGATAGAATAGTCTAAATATAAACTTGATAGTATGCATTGGAATGCACTTGCACTCGAAAATAATCGATTCTAAGTCACTTTTTTGTCAGTCAGTTGTTTAATGTAATTTACTTGTTAATACCTTTTTTAATTATAATAATTTCAATATTAATTTAGCTTAGCGCACTACACTAGACTGACTTTAAAAGAAGAAACTATTTAAAACAATATCAATGTTAACTAGTTTTCAGTTAAAATGCCGTTTTACACTAAAATCAGTAACGGAAAAGTCGTCGGGTCAATTTACATTTAATTAAACCAACAGCAATAATCGTTCCTTCTTCTCATTTAACTTTTCAAACTACTTTGAAAATTTTTCTTTTCGTTTCCGTCGACTTATAATTATTAATATTATACTAATTATTTAAACAGAAATTGCCAATATTAGTTGCAAATATTTTATTATCATTAAAGACTGGACATTTTTKAAGGAAACTTTCCTGAAAACCAGTCTACTTACATGTCTAATACATGYATACATACAATTACAACACCAATTTGTGAAAACGTAGTATTTTACCAATGCATTAACGTTTTGAAGATATTAAAGAAAAAATATTTAAACGTTTATTAAAAAATTGCAAATTTTGAGCAAAGCTCCGATTGAGAAACTTTGTACAATTGCTGGTACTGAAGAAGTTATTTGTTGGCGTTATTTTGTTATAAATTTTCATATAGTATCAACAAATACTTTTTCCATTGAAGAAGCTTCCACAGCATTTCACGTCATTTTATGAAAATAGCATTCTTATTTATCGGGTGGTTTTTTATACTTTGCTCGTATATTGTTGTAGTTAGTAAAAGCTCTTTCAACGTCCGACTAGTTTATCTAATAGTTATCAATTCATTTCGTCCCATGGAGAAAGTACTAGACGAGGTGGATGCTCCTAGCATAAGTTATTATGCTGAGGCGATTTAATTATCTTATTACCTACTACGTATAAGGTCAAAAATGGGAAAGTGTTATGCTAAGTGAAATAACAAGTTACAAAGGCAAAACATTTAAGAGCCTTAAAAGGCAACAAGTGAAACCTTTTGAAGACGATTTTATATGCAGCCATATATCTGGTATTTCATATTTAAATAGACAATGTTTTATAGAAATAAAAAAAAAAAAAATTTAATAAATATAATATAAGGAAAAATATGTAAGATCTAATGAAATAGCAGTAATATGATGTTAAAGTAATATCATATTAAAGCTGTTAATACGTACTTTAAAAACAAGTGCTTATAACATTAATCATATATGGCGACTATTTTTGTTGATGATTTCACATTTTCATCAGCATGGCGCTCTGAATGGAAAGGCCTATTGATCTTTCTTAAATACGTTACAACCGCCATACTACCACGAACTTAACTGATTAGTCAAAATCATTAATTACTTATCATTATTTACACTTTTTCTAAAAAGAATATCGATACTTGACTTGAGTGATCTACGATGTATCCCCAGAATCTATAAGACCATATTCATTCCTATTTACGTATTATTATCATAATCAATGTCATAAATAAGTTGTATAACATTTTATAAAATACATAACATTACATTAACACAATTCGTTTCCTACAGGCCTATAAAAATTATTGTTTAAATCTAGGTCAACAGCTTTATTTTCTATATGGTAATATGGCTTATTTTATGGTTTGTTTTCAATAGTACACCTGAAGAACTTTATCAATAAAGTAATAAAACTAAGCCATCGCCTATTTTGCATCAAATATGTGCGGAGTGGGCGAGCATTATTAAATGTGCAATAATTATCTGTAACCGGCATGAAGTCAACTTGAATAAAATCCGCATTAACAAATGCAACTTTATTTATTCAGCTTTAGTGCTTTTAATTGCTTCTAGAAATTATTTACTTTTGTCTAATGAATGAATTTCAAACTTGATTCGCGACATGCCATTTACATAAGCAAATATAAAAAATGAGCCAAGGTTTCCAACGAAAACGATCTTCACATATATTTTCTTTTATTTGTAGGTGTTATAATGGATGGACATTCAACACCCAAATCATAACCATAACGGAAAATTGATACTGCGTAAAACAAGTGATTTTTTGAAAAAAAATTGCGTAGCAATCCGAGCTCTTTTGTGAAAAATTACCGAGGCAAAGAGTAGAAAAAGTGTGTTAGTTACCGTATAGTTCATTTTACGGTATTATATCGCATATTTTATTGTTGTTCGTGTCGATTGCTGTTGCCAAAATGATGCCCAGGAATTCTTCCCCGATTATCGAGAAGGAGATTTTCTGTACTTACAAGGTAAAATTTTCGACGTGATCGAAAATAACCTTTACTAAAACTCGAGACAAAAGACAAGAACATTAATTATTCATAATAATAGTAAAAAAACCACTAATTAGTTATTAATTCATACTAAATGATCATGTAGACACGACTAAAATCAAATAATGAAATAATAAATAGGGGTAAGTATAAATCAGTAACATGTTCAAAACACATTTCGAATTTGAATTAATCATATATTTATTTAGCTCTTGATGTTGAATGAAAAAAACGGTAACAAAACGAATTCTGGAAAACTTGACAATATCCACTCAACACTTAAATGCAATAATAATTTTTCAGAAAATACAGCTGAAAATTACGCCGGCAGTCAAATTATTTTTAATTATTCTCCCTGATGAAAACGAGAGATAAACGAATCGGTTTTTTTAATTTCCAATAACGGCGTTCGTCTAAAACAAACAATTTCTTTGCACTCGTGCTATACATTCAACTAGCCTTTCATTCTAGCCTAATTAATGCTATTAAAGCAAGCAATAAAGAGTGTTCCACTTCATTTCGTTCTCATGATACACTTTACTTTTTATGAATCAACAACATGGTAAATAGTTTATTTTTCAAATTTACTTCTTTAATAGATTGTTGCCGGTCAGTTGATAAATATTAATGCATTTGCAGCAAAGTAGGTTGGATGGGATATGGCACTTTCATATTAATTCTTTCTGAACATGTCTTCAAAATGTCTGTCTACTTTTTGTCACCAAAGCGCATTGAGGCTTGAACGTAATCATTTCCTTTCAGTAATACATGTGCAAAGGTACTTCTTAGAGAATTTACTGCAAATACTTGTAAAATAAATACAGTTGGTTAATATACGAGCATCTCTGAGATATTTTATTTAAGAGTTTAATCTGAAATTCTAATAAATTGCAGTGGAGATTGTTTTATTGAGAAAATATAAAATATATTGTTAATGGCTGTTCCCCTGAATGTTGAGGTAACTTTACTAGATGCTTTACAATTCGGTGGTCGTATGAATAAGCCAATTCAAAGCAAAACAATAAGAGAACTTTCAAAGAGTGTCAGGCCAAATTTAAAGTACAAAGATCAGCTTCTGATGTATGCAAAGTCAGTTTTCACTTCTTCGATGGCTTCTTGGAAAATTTTTGAATTTAATGTCAATTGCTATTTTAAATTTTAACCTATTATCAGGGTGTCGCGTAAAATTGAATAAATTTTCAAAGAAGCAAGGTGAAACTCAAAATCTCAGTTGCAAAATTAGGTGTTATTGTGCTCGATATTAAATTATCCAAAAATAAATCTAGATATGCTAAAGTGGATAAATTAGAATTTTTATTCTCCGTCAAAAAAAACTGCAAAAACTTTATTATTTTGAATACGATGATACGTTGCTGATTCGTTTGATTCTGCCTAATTATTAAATATTTGCGCCTCCCAAACTCAAGCACGGAGGAAGTTGAGTCTGTTACCATCGTTAGTGGACACTTGATCCGAGAGACGTGGAAAGTTTCAGAAAAATCCATAAATAACCTGATTTTTGTCGGCTTTGAAAATGTGACTCACAAAATTGATGGTGTCAGTCAGTTGCGCTCGAGTACTTAAAAATTCGCGTCTCCCAAACTCAAGCACGCAGGCATTTGAGTGTTTCATTTAAAATAAGTAGGTTTCAGACACTTCTGAAGACAACTTCTGTGTCGCTGTTATCTCATCTGAAAAGAGCATCTTCGAAAATCCCATTATCCAAGTTTGCAGGAGTCAAGTCGCATTACTTCCCGAAATATTCCAATGGACGCTGACTGTGAGACACCTTGTATATTTATATCATATCGTAAAATATATTTATCTTAGTTCATTTATTGCTAACGCATGTTCAAGTGAAAGCGATATCCGAAGAAGAACAGGAATGGGCAAAAATGCAATGAGTATAGTAAGATAGTAATATCTAATATCTGGAAAGACCGTTCTATTTCACAAATCACTTAATTGAGGCTAGTTGAGGGAATATGGGGGTGAAACTTGCACAATTAAAATCACCGACGTTTCTCTAAATCTCATCCTTAAAGAACATCCAGAATAGACTATCCTCTAGTTGTCTTGCAGAAATTCTGAGGGTTTTTGAACATATTACATGAGAAATACTAATCTGGAAACGTTGATAGCTTCGGGAAATGTAGAGAGGACAAGGTCCAGAGGGCATCAATGGGATACACAGATCAGATGCAAAACTCCACCAGCACTTTGTTTTACGATTAATCTAATGCTAAATTCAGATGTCCAGATAAATTGTTTCTGAATGTACCTACAGATTCTAATTAAGTTAATTTTTATTTCAAATGGTACACCTTGTAAGTTTTTTTACATATTTTATTCACTACAGATTCAAGTTTTCTATACATTTCCTCCATTATAACTGAAGAAGTTTAGTTTATTCGTTATTAATATAACAATTTTAATACACTACGTTTATGACGACGAATTTTACATTTAATACTAAAATAATGAAATAACTAGTATGACAATCTCAGTTTAAGTTGTTTTAGTTTTCAAATACGCGAAAACGTACAAGAGATGGAATTGATAACATAAAATTTATAGAGCGTTGCAAAATACCACGTATATTAAAAACCATTCATGTTCAAAATAGAAGATCGATCAATGTATAACATTTTTAGGACTTAGGAAAAAGGTAACAGTTCAGAAGACTCAACCTCCACGTCCTCTAGACAAATTAATCCAAAAAAGTATTTAATTACGAAAAAGAGAAATACTGCATCGATTTAACCAGATAAATTTGCAAATTTCAATTCAATACTCGCATTTTACGAATAGAGCTTCAAAGAATCTTAATGCGATGAATACCATAATTAGAAAATAATGGTATAATTAAAGATCGAAATCAGTGGGTAGTTTTAAACCGATTAATTGCAGATAAGGTGCGCTATCAACAATGAAAAAGTGAAAACGTTCACAAGAAAAGTACTCTTCAGTTGTACGCCGGTAATTTAAGTATCTCTTGATCATAATGTATGTGTGCTTTTTGTATCTGCGTTCAATATGTACTCTTTAACACGTTTCAAGTATGATTTATCGCCGAACAAGGATTTCCGGAAAATGTTAATGATTTGCGCCTTTCTAAATATTTAGTATTTAGTTTTCTTGGGCTGGTTGTTCAAGTGGCGATTGTAGGAAGTAATTTCGTACCGTACGTAACTGAATAGATTGTTTCTTGGGGGTATTAAGGGAACATTTTAAAATTCTTTATGGGCATGCAAAATTATAACGGATTGTTTAATAATTCGATCAAAGTCAAATTGTACGTTTCATTAAGTGGTGCCTACAATTTTAATTTGTTTTCCTTATAAGGAATTATCACGGATGTTGTTCCTTGACGTAATACGAACATCTGGTGATTGCGAATAGTCCAAATTCTATCATTACAGTAGTATTTTACATGAAATGGTTAAGTTTTCAACACATTTTTACATAGGTATAATAATATATAATAGTAATAATGATCGTGTTTTATGTTCTGACGCAGAAGTAATTTTCCGATTTCAAAATACCATTAGAAATATTCAGAGATGGCAATATAAGTTTTTTTATTTTCAGCTATTCATACTAATTAAATTAATTTTAAAAAGAAGTACTAATTTGTTGGTTTAGAAGTAGATCACGATTAACTGATATATACTTACGAATAAACAATTTAACATAAAACATTTGCTAAAAATATCTATTAATTTCAGATCAAACTAGAAAGAGTATTAGGAGTAACAGTGCCAAGTAATGCAGCTTTAGCAAATGATAACAATGGAATTGTCGCCTATCCGGCCGGGTAAGTGTAAAAAAATTTAACTTTCGAAATAAATCAATTCCGTTCACAACGAGAATTTATTAGTAAATGCAAATAACAAACTGGATAATTAAACATATTAATTAATTTATTATTATCGATTAAACAACGATAATAATATTTTCGAACAGTAACCACTGCTTGTAAATTATATATTTCCATCTTGGATTGGAATTGCAAATCTATCAATTAACAGACATAATTACTTTGATGATTAATTTAATTTAAAAAATTGATTGGGACTTTGGAAAGTGATTTATTTCTCAATTTGTTTAAATTGGATATTCGAAAATTATCGTCAATTAGTAAAATACCTATTATAATGGCAATATGGCACTTAATGCTAAGTAAAATGAATATTAGACAAAGTAAATCTGGTCTAAAAAATTTCAACAAAAAACAACAACTTATGGTTTTGGGATTGATAAAATCCGATATTCTTTGGGCAAAAAAACTACTATCAATTCATGAATATAGATTAGGATAGATAAAAACGATTTGAGAGTATCTTATTTCTTACAGAAAATATACGTTTGTTAAAATTAAATTACTGGCCTGATTTCTTCGTACCTAATTCGAATTCGATTCGACAACTGTAGCTTATACATATTATGTTAATACAACATCAACAATTAAATAAAAACAGTAAATCCACGATTTGTTTTATTTGACTTTCGATTTTCGAGAAACTATTCAAAGTGTCCCCTATTGATTATAATTTACTTTAATAATACGGTTTCTTATTTTTTTGCTTTATTATGAACGTATTTAATTATTAATGTTGCAGTAATATTATATGTAAAAGTAAACGCAGAGACAAGACCACTAATAAAATAAATAGGTTTTTGACAAGAGTATTTTTTTCGCTCTATGAAAGTGAGTCGAATGTTTTTTTATTTATAGCTCCATTCTTCAAGTAGCATGATATTTTAAACCTCTATCACAAATTACAAAAAAAGTGGTACAAAGACAAAAAAAAATCCTCCAGAATTAAGTTATTTTAATCCAAATTGTAAGAGAATATTTGTAACTGTCTACAGAATAGAAACAAAAACTGAAATCGGACTAAATAGATTAGTAGCAGATATAAAATACTTCAGTGGCAAAAACCGAAGCAAATTTATAACTAAATAGTTTTAACTGTAAGTTGACTTTCGGCACAAATATATCGGATACATATTTGCTTTTTTCCTATCGATAATGCAAATTGAGCCAGCTTAAGGTTGCAATTAGTGGTGGCAAATGAAAAAATGTGTTAATAGAGTACAACTATTCTCAGTGTACATATTTAAAATTAATAGTTTTCACTCATTATGCACGTTACCAAACTGAGATGTTACAAAACTGAGCAAAAATTGTTATAAATCAAAACGATTGAAAAGCTGTTTGTGTTGGTTTATATAGCTATAAATCAGGGTAATTGCGACTAATAGCAATTTATTTCTTGAGAGGCCTTGAACGACCTTTACAGAAGTGAAATACGCATATTTTACGGCGGATGCTTTAGTAAGGACTTCAGAGGTCGCCGGTACATCTTTAATGCCAACCATTCAACTAATAATGATTGAAACGATTCTTGGTTGTTTTGTGTAACTTTGCCGAGGAATGATTATTTTTCAACCACAAAAAAACAGCTTTTACGCCTACATAAACGTCGAATTTCCCACACAATAAAAATCGGACTTATTTTCTTCGAATTTCTTGATTGGCGACAAAAACGCTGTCGTAACCGTTTAACAATTCCTTGCACCGAAAATTGGCATAATTTTAAATAATTGTCTTAAATACATTCAGACACTGCCATTGTTCGCTTTTTTGTCTCACCCACCTGTCCACCAGTTTTTCTAATGCGCTTCAAGTCAATTTTCTTTTGATGTATCTATTAAAGGACATTGTACGGGGTGTCACCATATAGAGGTGTTCTAATGGAATTCCAAGACTTTCTGCCAGTGTTACTGGAATTATGATCATTTGTCAACGCTAAAACTAGAGCCTACACATGTACAAATCAATGATTTTTCAATCGATCAAGTTCTTTCAATAACTCACATCCAAACGAAAACAAGTTTTAAACTGCAGCCTGAAATGACAGCATTCTTAAATATAGAATGAAAAGTCTGCAAACTTCAGTCCATCTAAAGCAGAGAATCAAGTTTGCCCATAAACCTGCTTATTAATGGGATTTATTTAGAAAATGCATCTCCTAGCAATCAGAATGCTATGAATGAATGAAAAGAACTGATTTAAATTCAGCTGTATCCTTTAAATGGCCAAGTTTTATGTATCTACAATATCCGCGAAGTTAATATAGAATCGTTTGTTCAGTGCCAGCAGCACGTTGTTACCACGATGATCGCATTATTCTAGATCAGATGGAAGCTCAATACGAAAAGGCTATTTTCAGCTCTAATTTTAAAACCCGCTTTCCACAGATATTAACAAGCATATTTTCACGTGGCCTTAATGCGAAAGAAAATGATTTGAAAGCATTATGATCGCGTAAAGCTTTAATAGCATCGATGAGTTGACCTAAATTAAAAGGGTGAAAGGTAAACCAGCGAGGTTGCAAATAAGAAAATCGAACATATTTTTGCTCGCCTACATTGAGAAGTGTATTGATGGGTTTCTGCTTCTAGAAAAAAGTCCATTAACATTTCGTTAATAGTTCGATGTATTGGACATGGAATGATTGTCCAAAAACCGTTTAAATATCAATAAATAGGTTGGATTGAAATTGAATTTGAAACAGTTTGAATGGAGAAAAAGAGAAGGAGAAAACAAGGACGAAATAATAATTAAAATGGAAATAAAATTAATGATCACATATGTATGTCTACGATAAGAATGAAAACCAGATAACAGCAAGTATTTGACTCAAGGAGAATCATTAACAAGGCAGCCTCAACAGTCTCAATCCTGAAAGAGTATGCTAAACCAGAAGGTGTATTATTTAAAAGTGCGGAGCGGACAAATTACTTTCGCAAAGAACGAGGACAACAAATATCTTATGAAACATGTGTTTGATACTATTATTAAGGGGCACAAATACCAAATTGCAGAACGCATTTAACTAAAATTTGGCGAGTTTTGCAATTTTTTCACAAATAATAATAAATACTTTTTGTCTGATATTTGTGAATTATTGCTTTCCGATCCAAATCAGATATTAAAACCTATTTAAAAATGAGGTAACTTAAAGCAGCAAAAAATAAATAATTAAACTAACAGACAAATTTAACAAATTGGATAGTGTTTTGTGACTTTTGTATTTGATCGAGCAGTTCGATTACATATTTCGTTGCCATTTTTTAGTCCAGTATGATTTTGTACATAATTTTGTACATATTTGAGTCCTAAGAAACATGTAAGCGTTAAGTTTGCACGGAATTTTTTTTTTAGTTTTATGATTCAGTATAATCCACATTTATTTTTCGTCATTTGTGTTACCTTTGCTCTGGATTTCTTTATTTTTATTGTAATTTTCTTCATGATTTAACATCATCCCGAAAGTCATGCTTGCAGTGCTTAATTTGAGTATAACTTGATAAATATCAGAATATTTATAAATGAAATTTCTGGTTGTAATCAACGAAAAGCAAAGTTTTTGCCATTCCATTAGGCAATCGATTTTTTGTTATCTTTCGAATATGGACAAGTAAACTAAAAGTGCATTCAACTGCTTAGAAATATTATATCAACGAAGAGACATAAATAAATTAGATAGGGCAGAAAGACCGATTGGGTCGATAGCCTTTTTCTGTAGGAAATAAAGATTATTTATATATTATATATATAAATTAGATATTTAGAAAGCAATTTCGTTGGAACTAAAACACAGTATTTGTTATTATCACTTATTATTATATTATTATATTACTACTATGTACTTGTCGAAGGTTAAATATTAATAATAAAATTCAATAAATTTTCTGTAATTTCCCGCAATACGTGAAAAAGGCTGAAGTCGACATTATGATAGTTGCGTTGTTTGTCATTTGTTGGGATGCATCTGCCTTTCATAAAGTGAATACTTGCATAGAATTTAATTCTTGGATTCACTCAACTTGATATATTGGGTCATCATGATCCTATGAATATCAACTAGATTATTTAACTAATGCGTTAAAAGTATATAAATGAATGAAAAAGTTTACGTTGAAAGGAAGGGCACACAGCCCTCAAAATGCTTTTACTAAAATCTAAGATTTGTTTTTTATATATTTAAAAATTATTATAATTAAGCTGGATTGTGAATATTTTGGCGGAAATAGTTGCAGAATTACAACTTATGATATGAATAATCAACTCGCAACACGCACAGAGTCGCAGTGACGTGACTAAGATATTTAGATTATTAATTGCTAAGTATTCTGTAGAACTTCTTTTAATATTTGCATTTTCAATAACTGCATACGTTTTCATGAGAAACTCATCAGTTTTTCGAGGTCTTGAAGGGCACTCCAGCTCGTAAAAATCAAATTTTCCAGTTGAAAATTGTTCCGCCTATAAATATGCCCTATTTCCGCATGGAAACGAGTTATCCGGAGTCGCTTAATTGGAAAATTACGCCTAAAGGCGCACCGGAAAATTCGAGAAGACTTTTTGATGATGAAAACTACTCTGAATTATTAATAGTTTTGCGAGATTGCCCACTGAAATTTATCAGAGCCATTGTATTTATACAAAGTGATTAGAAATTCATCATTTTCCTGAAGAAGCAATTCGGCAGTTATTCAGTTCAATTTTGTAACGCATTATGAGGTAAAAGTTTTAATAATATATAACAGATTAATATTATATTTGTTATTTGTTTATTGAGAAAAATATTATTTTCAAGCATTTGAACATGACAGCCTGTTTTAGAGTTAGCTCTTTTTCGTCAGATATAATTAATGTTTATTACTTTTCCATTGGTTTTTTGTCTATGTTATTATTTGTCACTCACTTGGTTCTCAAAATGCATTTAAGTTTATTTGCGGCAA